AACAAAAAAAGTAAAAATAAAACAACAACAAAAAAAGTGTTGAGAAAAAAAGAGCAGAAGTTAAATAAAATAACAGTAGGGAGGCTATATATACAGGGGGGTACCGGTGCAGAGTCAATGTGCGGGGGCACCGGCTAGTTGAGATAGTTGAAGTAATATGTACATGTGGGTAGAGTTAAAGTGACTATGCATAAATAATTAACAGAGTAGCAGCAGCGTAAAAAGGATGGGGTGGGGGGGCAGTGCAAATAGTCTGGGTAGCCATGATTAGCTGTTCAGGAGTCTTATGGCTTGGGGGTAGAAGCTGTTGAGAAGTCTTTTGGACCTAGACTTGGCACTCCGGTACCGCTTGCCGTGCGGTAGCAGGGAGAACAGTCTATGACTAGGGTGGCTGGAGTCTTTGACAATTTTGAGGGCCTTCCTCTGACACCGCCTGGTATAGAGGTCCTGGATGGCAGGAAGCTTGGCCCCAGTGATGTACTGGGCCGTACGCACTACCCTCTGTAGTGCCTTGCGGTCGGAGGCCAAGCAGTTGCCATACCAGGCGGTGATGCAACCAGTCAGGATGCTCTCGATGGTGCAGCTGTATAATTTTTTGAGGATCTGAGGACCCATGCCAAATCTTTTCAGTCTCCGGAGGGGGAATAGGCTTTGTCGTGCCCTCTTCACGACTGTCTTGGTGTGTTTGGACCATGATAGTTTGTTGGTGATGTGGACACCAAGGAACTTGAAGCTCTCAACCTGTTCCACTACAGCCCCGTCGATGAGAATGGGGGCGTGCTCAGTCCTCTTTTTTTTCCTGTAGTACACAATCATCTCCTTTGTCTTGGTCACGTTGAGGGAGAGGTTTGGGGGTGTTTTGGGGGTGTTTTTCTGCTAAGGGGACAGGACAACTTCACCGCATCAAAGGGACAATGGACGGGGCCATGTACCGTCAAATCTTGGGTGAGAACCTCCTTCCCTCAGCCAGGGCATTGAAAATGGGTTGTGGATGGGTATTCCAGCATGACAATGACCCAAAACACACGGCCAAGGCAACAAAGGAGTGGCTCAAGAAGAAGCACATTAAGGTCCTGGAGTGGCCTAGCCAGTCTCCAGACCTTAATCCCATAGAAAATCTGTGGAGGGAGCTGAAGGTTCGAATTGCCAAACGTCAGCCTCGAAACCTTAATGACTTGGAGAAGATCTGCAAAGAGGAGTGGAACAATATCCCTCCTGAGATGTGTGCAAACCTGGTGGCCAAATACAAGAAATGTCTGACCTCTGTGATTGCCAACAAGGGTTTTGCCACCAAGTACTAAGTCATGTTTTGCAGAGGGGTCAAATACTTATTTCCCTCATTAAAATGCAAATCAATTTATAACATTTTTGTCATGCGTTTTTCTGGATATTTTTGTTGTTATTCTGTCTCTCACTGTTCAAATAAACCTACCATTAAAATTATAGACTGATCATGTCTTTGTCAGTGGGCTAACGTACAAAATCAGCAGGGGATCATACTTTTTTTCCCTCACTGTATTCTCCCCATCTTAGCTACTGTTGTATCAATATGTTTTGACCATGACAGTTTACAATCCAGGGTTAATCCAAGCAGTTTAGTCACCACAACTTGTTCAATTTCCACATAATTTATTGCAAGATTTAGTTGAGGTTTAGGGTTTAGTGAATGATTTGTCACAAATGCAATGCTTTTAGTTATAAAAATATTTAGGACTAACTTATTCCTTGCCACCTACTCTGAAACTAATTGCAGCTCTTTGTTAATTGTTGCAGTCATTTCAGTCGCTGTAGTAGCTGACATGTATAGTGTTGAGTCATCCGCATTCATAGACACTCTGGCTTTACTCAAAGCCAGAGGCATGTCATTAGTAAAGATGGAAAAAAGTAATGGGCCTAGACAGCTGCCCTGGGGAATTCCTGGATTATGTTGGAGATTAAACTTGTTGGACACTGATCATTATGTAATATTAATTGGAGTACATGTCAAATGTACTTAATTGGAAATGTTAAGGAAATGCTACATGGAACCATCGTTCAATGCAAAGAACCTCCCAATAAACATGGTTTAGAGGAGTGTTTACCTTATTGAACATTCTAAAAGTAAATTCTATAGGCCTAATATATTAAACAAGGGTCCATTAACTGACTTGATAACAATGGAATTGACACCAGGGGCGGTGTGTTCAATAGGGCGATATGGGCGACGCACTGCCAAACGGGAAAAGGAAGGGATTTTTTTTCTAATCAATTACATCACGGCAACAGTAGTTATCAGTGTTGTAATCTAGACGTCTGATCTGCCACAGTGCCACTAAATGTCCAATCAGGCTAAAGTCGTGCTTCAAATGCCCCCCCCCCCCTTTTGGGGCGATTTCAGTCAGGTTGAAAATCGCCCAGAAGTCTGTCATAGACTCCCATGTAAAATCTATTTTTTTCAAATATCAGAGCTTTCAATACAATCTCTATGGGTTTCTGAGGGCTTGCACTTACGCGCTTTCGTCATACGTAACATATAACTATGAACGTAACTAAGAAAAGAGCGGGTAGCAGCGTCAATCAATTCACTACTTCTATCAAAATGGCTAGGCTTCAGTGCAACTCGATTGTGTCTTTGAAAGAAGTTCCTTTTTGTCGGCGAACAAATGAAGATAAATTGGCAACGAAACAATTAGGACCTCCCAGACCAAATTTAATAATTCAACAGGTTTCTACTAAAGGGGGGAAGTCCTACACCCGAGGATTTTCCAAAAATTGGTACGAACGAAAAACCTGGCTAGCAGGCTGCGATGTAGCTAATGCAGTCTTCTGCTACCCTCTGCTTACTCTTTCACCCTGAAGGCGGCACGGCAGACAGCACCGCTTGGACAGCGACTGGTGTGTAACGGACATGCACCATCTTTCAGGAAAGATTAAGAAACATGAGCTGTCAAAGACCCACATGGATAGCTGTTTGAGATTGTCTGCTTTGGGGAGAGTGAACATTCCCACTCAACTGGATGAGGGATACAGGCTAGCTGTCCGCCGCCACAACGATGAGGTTAGTGTTGATAATCACAAGTTTACTGGAGAACTGAAACTGACAAGGCTGACAAGATAGGACCCTTTTGTCCATTGTTATTGGATAGGAACAGAACTTATAACCAGCTCCTGACCTAAATAGATCTTAGCACAACATTTTACTCAACATATCATATTCCATATTCACTATAACAAATATATTTACTACGACATTAGCAAGAACCGCCACATCCTCAGCCGGCTAATCCAGTGTGTGAAGTTTTGCGGAGTGTTTGAGTTAGCTTTGCGAGGCAAAGATGAAACTGAGGGCTCCACCAACCCTGGTAAGCCAACACTTTTGAGATCAGTCAATAAATGCTTCTGGTATTGACTTATATGCTGCCCCTGTCTTCATGTTGTTGCTGGACATATCTTTTTTAAAATGTGTGTAGGTCACCTAAATCATCAGAAAAATTGCCCCCCCTGAGAATTTTTTCAGGAGCCGCCACTGATTGACACATAGAATGCAATGTTCCTATGAATGTATATTAGTACAGTATTTACTATAGTAAAGTAGTCCAAACTCCTTATAAAATGAATAATGAGTGTAATATGATACGGTTGCAGCACTAAAACCAAAAGTTTAAACAAATGTTCAATTAAATGTGCAATTAAATACCCACACCGATCAGATAACCTTCCATTGGACCACAGATTGTATTTGACCCAACAGCTACAGTACGTTCCCGCTACTGTATCAGCAGAGCACATCTTGTGGTAGCGACTGTGGATTGTTCTATATCCAAGCAGGAGGGGCCTTTTGACAGTAATATTATTTGAGAATTTATTACCGAAGGCTTACATACAAAAATACATAGATTGCATTGCGGGACAAGGTTATTCTTTATTAAAGTAGCCTATCAAATGCCACTATGAGGCAGATATAAAAGTAAAAAGACTGCATTTCGTTGGAAAGGATATCCCCCACGAGAGAATTGGGCGAGTCCGTTGAAAGCGGAGCAGCGGTCTATGTGTCTCATCTCATGCAAAATGAGGAAGCAGCGCTGCATGAAGAAGAAGTTTATCCTGATCTCTCTGAATATATTTTATATTCCTTCAAAAATAGTTTGAAGTAGTGTAGACTTTTAAATAGTTTAATGTTCAGACTGTATAAGGTTGCTTATACCATCTCAAGGTAATTGTAACCTTAATTTACTTTAGTTTAGTTTTTCTATTGACGCGTTAGAAAGAAAAGTTAACCGTATTGAGCCGCAACTTGGACACAACCGGACTGGATAGGCCTACCCATCTTCAACCGACAGCACAACATTGTAAGCCAGGACCAAGTATAAAACGTTGAGTTTGTTGACAGTTCGATATTTATTCTGATCGTTTTATGTGCTCGATGTTGGTTCAATCTGGCGATGCATTTATGTGCGTAATTACGCGTCCTTCAGACTGTAGATTAAAAACGACAACTTTCTTGCCACGGTTAGATATCTGATCACGCGTATGTGCATCCTGTCACAGTGGTGTTTTCTGCAGCAGAGAGATGCTCATATGGGGGTTATTGTGGACTAGGGAAATAGAATGGCATATTATCTGCTTTATGTAAGGTGTGGCAATAGTCAAAGTGGATGTCATAGCTTTTTTAGGAAATATTAACGGATTTATTAAAAAAAAAAACATTGGGAGGATTATGGTTGAAGATATTGCATCATATTCTAGCAGATACTATCACATTGTGTCATATTCTACACAATAGTATTTTTTTCTCAAGTCACTGTCATTTATTTGGAGACAACAGAACAGGATGTTCAGAATGTATCAGGTAGAACTAGTACTAGAATGAACACGTTTCTATCAAGTAGAATACAGAAGTGTGTCTGCGGTTCTATGTGCTCCATTTATATCTGCAATGCTTTGAATGCTGTGCCCAGTTGGAGATGTGCCCCAGTTGGGTAGTTACTGCCTCCTCCCTTGCATAAGTCAGCCTTAGCACCATGGTGTTGCCGTGGAGACAGGTGTGTCAAGGGACTCTACTCCTGCTACAGTTCATGATTTTCTGACACTGCCTCAGTAAACCTCACACTCACAGATGGAAGTGAGAATGGTTTGGAAATGCCTTTCCCCCTCCTCGACCAAATACTGGGTCATCTCCTGCCCGAGCTTTTCTCAAAAGTCTCATCACAGCCAACTTTGACAGAGAGGTGTGACTGAGTCACTTTGAAGGTAATCCTCCATATAGCAGTTCAGTTCACTAGTACACATTTAATTGAAGCCCAATCAGCTTCACAGCATGCTACGGTAATGAGATTTTCAATGACAGTATGCTGTCTAGCTGGGTTTTCTCTCCCCAAGCACATCACATGTGATGGATTGGCCATTTGCATTCCCAGCAAAACGCTATGATAAATACAGACAACCCAAATAATATTTTCTCAGTCCAATCCATCTCTGGAGCAGTAGTCAGTGATGGGAAATGTCTATGTTGACGCCCCCTGACAGACATCATTTAATGGAGCGCCATTGCCAACAATGCTATTCTGGGGGGATACTGGGAACAGCCTGCTGTTTGTTTTGACTGTGATCATCTGGTTCACTACAGCCGGAGAAAGATGGTGTTTTGTGTTGGGGGGAATCTTTTGACACCAGTCAGGGTCTCCCTCGTCATGTCATGATGTCACTAAGCCTGCCTGTAGGGGATGGGGTTTCCCCCGGCATGTGATGATGTCACTGAGCCTGCCTGTAGGGGATAGGGTCTCCCCCAGCACGTGATGATGTCACTAAGCCTGCCTGTAGGCGATGGGGTCTCCCCCGGCACGTGATGATGTCACTAAGCCTGCCTGTAGGCCATGTGTAAGATAATGAGCTCCACAGCAACGGTCGCCGACACTGGGATAGGGGTTACTAGAGTCATGTTTAATGTATGATTTACTGGACATGATGATTTGATACATACCTTTAGAAATGGAAGTGTGTTTGTAAGCCAGAGAGTGGAACTTTCGGGGGGTCAGAGGTGGGACAGGACTCCCAGTTGGCCTTAGGGGAAACACATTGTGTGAGTGTGTGGAATCTGGAAGCTGTGTGAAACATTTTCATTAGCCACAGAAGCCAGTGGAAAAAGTGGAACAATGGCAGCCATGGTTATTGGGTACAGGGTTGATAGGGATGGGGGCAGGGCGGCTTCTACAGACTACAGTAAGTGGTAGAGCCAAAGCAACAAGGGAAAGACTGTTGCCGTGTTACGAAGAGGAAAGGCAGACATTGGCTGTGTCCAAAATGGCACTCTTTTCCTATGTAGTGCGCTACTTATGACCAGGTTCCATAGGGCTGTGGTCAAAGGAGTGCACTAGGCCTAAATAAGGAATAAGGTGCCTTTTGGGACGCAGGCATTGAATGTGAAATAATAATCTCATGGGGCTGCTCATGGTGTGAACGTGCTGAGAAAGGAATCTAGGCTTAATATGGGAAAACCAGTTTCACAATCTTAGAACATTGGCCTAATGGATGTCACTGGAGGTCATATGTGAATTTAGTGAGCCCTGTTATTTTCCCCCAAACATATCAAAAGCGTGGTTCTATCAGCATATGAAAACACACATACTAAATAAAAAAAACATTGAATTGAGGCAACAAAAAAAAGCTTCATCTTACGACAGATAGCGCAATGAACCGTCTGCACTTTGCATAGGAGTGATGCCACCTGCTGTAATCGCTTCTGGAACGCAATGGGGAAAAATAACACATTTTAAAAGACTTAAAGGGATAGTTCACCCAAATTACAAAATGACATATTGGTTTGCTTACCCTGTAAGCAGTCTATGGACAAGGTATGACAGCAATCCAAATAGCACCAGTCAGTAACATTTCCCACCATCTCCACCATGATAAAGTCTACAAGGAGGAAGGGAAGCTTCATTATACCTCCGCCTTCATGCCATAAAAACGGACAAAGACAAACTGCAACTCGCTGACGTGGTACCGCACTTGACTTGATGCAATTTCTCGTGGTAAACGCTGCGGATGTTGGCTCAAACTAATAACCTGTTAAATGCACGTTGCGGTTTGTTTGAATCACGGCCAAATACTTTCTATACACAAGAAAACAGGGCTAGATTGCCATTCCAACTGCTGTTCACGGCATTGAATACATCATTTGAATTGCCAGTATTAGGCTGTGGTTCCAGCTGTGAAAACACCTGTCAAATGTAATGCTTTGTGACTTGCCAAGCACCAGACTGGGTAGATATCAGCCACTGACACAGGATGTGCATGACTGCCATTTTGTATAACTTATTGTTCTAGGTCATCTGTGAGGACATCCACACAGCTTACAGTTCTGTGTTGCTCCTTTTCAGTAGGACATCCGCAAAGGAAGACATTGCTTTTAACAAACACATGCCCATCCTTCACTGTGTGTAAACCTGCATTGCTATACAGCAAATTTTCATCTTAAAAAAATACAACATGACATTGTTGCAATGGTGTTGTGCTATATAATGCATTATCATACAACTGTATGAGACAGTGGTTACTTCATGGGCGTCTATTGGAGTGTAGGCTACTAAGTGGTTTTCTACGGAACTTTAAAATTAGAAGAAAGAAAATTACAGCAGTTTTTATCCCCAGCAGAATGGAATGTTTTTGGATGTCTTGTGGGTTTGTGTGCAGGGAGGGAATAAATAGCAACGCCTGTGTTTATGTCTGACCTGGTCCTGCCAAGCACAGTGAGCTGGCGTGGAAAACCGTCCATGTGACCATATGACCCAGTCCAGGGGAGGCGCTGCCTGTTGCATCCTGGGGCCAGGGGGTGTGGTCGGGCTCTGGATGGGTGTGTGTGTGTGTGTGTGTCTGTGTCTGTGTTTGTGTGTGTGCGTGCATTCGTGCGTGTGTGTTTGTGGCTGTGTGCGTATGTGTTATGATGTTTCATTCCAAGCCGTGTACAGCTGTAAACCAAACTAGGGCTGGTGGTGGTGTCACAGGGAGAGTGTAGGCTACTCCTAATCCACTCACCCCCTTAGAGCTCCTTTTACATTGTGACTCAGATCAAGGAAACTGCAGGAAATTACATTAAGGTGTGGACACATGATTCTTTCCGAGACGTGAGGCCTTTCTAGAAGCCTGTTAGAGCACAGTCACAAGCCCAATTAGGTTCTGTCCTCCGCTACTGTCTCTGGTATAATCTGTCCTGTGCCAATAATCTCAGAGGACAGAGAGAAAGAGGGGTAAATGGAGAGAGACATAGAGGAAAAGAGAAAGAGAGGTAAAGAGAGAACAGGATCATATGACCTTTTCTCTCTCTGGCCAATAAAAGCTTTGTGGGTAAAGCGGAGGGAGTGGGAGGGTTATATAACGTGTCATTAAATGTGTGCCATGTGCATGAAGTCACCTCAGCTCCCATGGTATAGCCTACCCAGAAATTAGGGTTTTCGTTTGATACACTTTTTCCATTGCAAGTTCTCTTTCTCTCTCTCACACACACGGACGCTTGCACACCACGCACGCACACACACACATACACACTTTTACAATGATGCCCTCAAAACGCCCCAAGAAGCCCCCTGCTGCGGCTCATTTCTTTCAATTGTCCCAGTAGGCTGTCTAGCTAGGTTATCTCTGTGAATCTGTGTTAAAAAACGAAAAACAGGACCAATATGCTGTGATGTCAGTTACCCTGTTATTCCCCTCTTTTTCACACCTTCTTTCTCTCTCTCCCTTACTCTCTCTGACACACACACACATACAGCTGAAAACCCCTGCCTGTGTGTGTGTGACCGCCCCCCCACGTGGCCTAACCTAGTTGCCTGGATTATCTAATGGTTGCCTGGCTTCTGAGGTAACAACCTTAGCTTCTTGTGCCGTGCTGACCTTTTGAGAGACGAGACTGACGTATTGAAGCCTAGAATGCTCAGCCACTCTCCCTCCACCGCATGACGAACGGTCGATCAATTCTCACCGCGCGAGGGGATTAAAATGGTTTCCTCGGAGACCAGATCTCGCCCTCCCGAGTGGCACTCGGAACATCTCAATTGTCATCTTATCAGTATCACTCTGCCACTGCTCATAGGCTGTTCAAAGCCTCTACGATCAAACGTTATAATAACCATCATTCAGTATGAGTCAACGTTGGGCTGTTTGAGGTGGTTCTTCTACCTCACGAGTTATTACGCAACATCCAGACAGTGCGGTTTTGATTAAACCAATTTATCTCTGGTGTGTTTCACTTGATGTTCCTAATGAGAGTGTTCCATCTCCCGTAGGAACAGAGGAAGAGGACACAGATCGAGCAGCCAGCCAGCCAGCAGACAGACATCGTGAAGAGAGCAGAAGGGGACCTGCAGCCAGCAGACAGACAGACATCGTGAGGAGAGCAGAAGGGGACCTGCAGCCAGCCAGCAGACAGACATCTTGAGGAGAGCAGAAGGGGACCTGCAGCCAGCCAGCCAGCAGACAGACATCGTGAAGAGAGCAGAAGGGGACCTGCAGCCAGCAGACAGACAGACATCGTGAGGAGAGCAGAAGGGGACCTGTAGCCAGCCAGCAGACAGACATCGTGAAGAGAGCAGAAGGGGACCTGCAGGCAGCTAGCCAGCAGACAGACATTGTGAGGACAGCAGAAGGGGACCTGCAGCCAGCCAGCCAGCAGACAGACATCTTGAGGAGAGCAGAAGGGGAGCTGCAGCCAGCCAGCAGACAGACAGACATCGTGAGGAGAGCAGAAGGGGACCTGGAGCCAGTCAGCCAGCAGACAGACAGACATCGTGAGGAGAGCAAAAGGGGACCTGCAGCCAGCCAGTCAGCAGACAGACAACTTGAGGAGAGCAGAAGGGGACCTGCAGTCCTGCGTGGTACAGATCAGGTCCCAAGATTAGCAGCACAGTTGACTGTGAGAGAGGCTCCACATTTCATTTCACCTTAATTTAAGCAGGAAAGACCCTTGAGGTTCTAAACTTTATTCCAGAGAGGCAATCATGGGGAAACAAAACAGCAAACTGCGTCCCGAAGTTCTGAACGACCTGCGCGAGAACACAGAGTTTTCTGACCACGAGCTTCAGGAGTGGTACCGAGGCTTCCTCAAAGACTGCCCCACGGGCCACCTGACCGTCGAAGAGTTCAAGAAGATCTACGCCAACTTCTTCCCGTATGGCGACGCTTCCAAGTTCGCCGAGCACGTCTTCCGGACATTTGACACCAACGGAGACGCCACCATCGACTTCCGGGAGTTCATCATCGCGCTGAGCGTCACGTCGCGCGGCGGCCTGGAGCAGAAGCTGCGCTGGGCCTTCAGCATGTATGACCTGGACGGGAATGGCTACATCAGCCGGGCTGAGATGCTGGAGATCGTACAGGTGAGTTTTAGTCTACCAATGAGGCAAGGTGGTTCCGATGGCTCAGTGAACTTTCTCACCAAACCTTTGAGGGGTTTTCCGTTGAGTGTCTCTACAGGAACAGCCAAATAACCCATTCTAGTTCTAGGTAGTAGCACCTTTTATTCTAACAGTACATGGTGCTGGCAGTACCAGGGTTGTGGGTGTGATTCCTGCATGCACCACATATTCTGAATATGTGTCATTGTCAATGTTGATAGTTCTGTCTGTCGCTTTGGATAAAAGCGACTGATAGATGGCCATATTAATGGTAGACCCAGCGATATGACGTTGCATGCACGAAGTAAGGACAATATCCGGTCAATTTCTGCAACAACTAATCACGAATCACGAATCACGAGGCTAAACTTCTTTGATGTTCTGATCCCATAGCTTAGATGCAATAATTTAATAACCAACGTTTTGACAGACAAGCTGTCTTCATCAGGGTGAAGACAGCTTGATGAAGACAGCTTGATGAAGACAGCTTGTCTGTTGAAACGTTGGTTATTAAATTATTGCATCTGAGCTCCTAGAGTGTGAGGCTTTCCTTTTCTTTCTCAAGTGTTCTACTCCACTAGCCAGCACCTCTCCTAAACAGGTGTTCTACTCCACTAGCCAGCACCTCTCCTAAACAGGTGTTCTACTCTGTTAGCCAGCACCTCTCCTAAACAGGTGTTCTACTCTGTTAGCCAGCACCTCTCCTAAACAGGTGTTCTACTCCACTAGCCAGCACCTCCCCTAAACAGGTGTTCTACTCTGCTAGCCAGCACCTCTCCTAAACAGGTGTTCTACTCCACTAGCCAGCACCTCCCCTAAACAGGTGTTCTACTCTGTTAGCCAGCACCTCCCCTAAACAGGTGTTCTACTCCGCTAGCCAGCACCTCTCCTAAACAGGTGTTCTACTCCACTAGCCAGCACCTCTCCTAAACAGGTGTTCTACTCTGTTAGCCAGCACCTCTCCTAAACAGGTGTTCTACTCCGCTAGCCAGCACCTCTCCTAAACAGGTGTTCTACTCCGCTAGCCAGCACCTCTCCTAAACAGGTGTTCTACTCCGCTAGCCAGCACCTCTCCTAAACAGGTGTTCTACTCCGCTAGCCAGCAACTCGCCTAAACAGGTGTGCATTTCTTTCGCCTCCAGATTGATCCCATAGCTAACACATTGTAGCGTGAAGCGCACCCGTGCACATGTGCAGATACTCTGTGTGACTGTGTGAGAGCAAAGTCTTGCATCGCGCTCATCTCAATATCTGCGGTGCTGCTCGTTGCAACGTCATCTCGCTGAGTCTACCTTTAAATTGCCATACTTTACTTTTCACAGTGGATTCAAAAGACCTCCGACAGGATCTCTCTCGCTCTCCTATTTACGACTTTTCTTTTACTGTATATATCTAATGACTGATGTGTTCTTTATTACTCACATCCGTGATCTCATCAACATATTTTCACCACAAGTCATGAACATTGGCTGCTACTTGTTCTCATTTTATTATCCTTTATCAACATGGTCATATTTGCTCTCCCCACCATCGTGGCCTGAGCAGCCTGTCCCGTATCAGTGTTGGCTCAGGCGATTGTGTGTGGTGCTGATACAAGCGAACCTGAATAAACAAATTCCCTTGTTAAAGTGTCGTCAGGCCATATGTTCCTGTCTCATTGGTGTTTGGCTCAAATGCCTTGTTTTTTTAAATAAAGCTAGAGACCCCATGACGATTTTTCCAGGTGGTAACCTGACTGCAGAATAGTTCCATTCTGACAGAGAATATTGTATTATTTTCTAAAGGCACTATTTGGGATTTACCCTGCTGTTTAATGGTCAGACATTGATTCTTGAAGAATGTAACTTTTTAATTCCTTATGAGCTTAATGCAACTGTTTTGCCCAATATACATTCTTCTTCCTTCCGCAGGCGATCTACAAGATGGTGTCCTCAGTGATGAAGATGCCAGAAGATGAGTCGACTCCGGAGAAACGGACAGATAAAATCTTCAGACAGATGGACGTAGACAACGACGGTGGGTTTTTCTTTGTTTTTAAACATCTCATTCTTCGACTTGTTCTAGTGACATAATTTACAGTGCAAACTTGAGTCCACTGTCGCCCGTAAAAACCCTGAGCCTACAGTATGTCTTGAATTGGTATTTCACTTGAGCTCTTATGTGCTATGTCTGTGTTTTCAAACAGTATGGATTTCGGGTGACCTCGTTCAGAAGTTTTTGCCTGCTGCTGTGCAAAAATTTAGATTTCTGGTGTTTATAGTGTAGTGTGTGTTGCTTACCTGGGGTCTCTTCTGGACTATAGGCAAACTCTCTCTGGAGGAGTTCATCAAAGGTGCCAAGAGTGACCCTTCCATCGTCCGGCTCCTGCAATCTGACCAGGGGACCTCTCGCCAGTTCTGAAGACAGATAAACAGACACACACACACAGTTCTGAAGACAGGAAAGTGGAGAGATCTCTGTATCATCCCCCATCCAACACACACATACACACACACAGTTCACACACGAGAAAGAGGTGGAAGAGGCACAGTTGTCATTACAACACCCATATCAGGCAGCCATTTTACATTCTCTTATTCCATGTCTTGTTGTTTATCATCAGTAGTTCCCTAGCCTGATCCCAGATCTGTTTGTTCTCTCTTTTGCATGGAGTTGGCAAGACAGCGCAAACAGATCTGGGACCAGGATAGCAGTTTCCCATATCCCAATGCAGCAGTCTCAAAATGCATTCTACAGCTATGAATGTTTTGCGTCATGAAACATCACATTCTACACCCAGAGTATACACCCACAGTACCACTGATAGACTCTTATGACATTTCCTTGTAAATGTTTTACTGCTTAATGTTATTTTTGCTTGCCTTACTTTAGTCAAAGTGAAGTGCCATATCTTAATATTTGTACTGAATGTATTATTACACTTGTAAGTATTATGACTTTTTCCCCTGACGTGTCACGGTAAGAGGAAATCCACCAATACCAATATTTTCTACATCAGCTATGGCGGCAGGTAGCCTAGCAACTAAGAGCGTTGGGACAGTAACCGAAAGGTTGCTGGTTTGAATCCCAGAGCGGACTAGGTGAAAAATCTGCCGATGTACCCTTGAGCAAGGCACTTAACCCTAATTATCTGCTAAATTACTGACATGTCAACCATGGGTCATCTCATTGCAACATTTACTCTGAATGTGATATTAGTTAGGGACATTCAAAAATAATTACAGTTTTTCACTTTAACTATGTATCGTTTCTGCAGCACAGGAATTTTGAAAATGAACGTTTTAATGCCCCCAACTGTACAGGAAGTTCCAGTGATGTTGTATTAAAACCAGTATCTTGTCATCTTTTGCAGTCACTGGTTTGTTTAGCTCCACAGCGCATGATGCCAACAGAGTGGATTATCACAGTTCCCAATAAGAAAACACTTTGGGGAAAAAAAAAACTAGAGCAACTTTATCTGTTGTGTTCACTTCACAGACGTCTTTATGCTGAAAGAAAGAAGAAGAAAAAAAGGTTCTGCAATGCAAACCTCGCTTCACTGATATGCTGCTTTTACGGTTTGTGTAGCTAGAATGTCATGAGTACAGTGGGTTGGTTCCAATTGCGGGCGAATAAGGTAAAAAGTACGGATACACGCTTGCAGTCTAGTTAGAAGGTTAGAGGCTCACTACAGTCTAGTTAGAGGGTTAGAGGTTCACTACAGTCTAGTTAGAGGGTTAGAGGTTCACTACAGTCTAGTTAGAGGGTTAGAGGTTCACTACAGTCTAGTTAGATGGTTAGAGGTTCACTACAGTCTAGTTAGAGGGTTAGAGGTTCACTACAGTCTAGTTAGAGGGGTAGAGGTTCACTACAGTCTAGTTAGAGGGTTAGAGGTTCACTACAGTCTAGTTAGAGGTTCACTACAGTCTAGTTAGAGGGTTAGAGGTTCACTACAGTCTAGTTAGAGGTTCACTACAGTCTAGTTAGAGGTTCACTACAGTCTAGCTAGAGGGTTAGAGGTTCACTACAGTCTAGTTAGAGGGTTAGAGGTTCACTACAGTCTAGTTAGAGGTTCACTACAGTCTAGTTAGAGGGTTAGTGGTTCACTACAGTCTAGTTTGAGGTTCAATACAGTCTAGTTAGAAAGTTAGAGGTTCACTACAGTCTAGTTAGAGGGTTAGAGGTTCACTACAGTCTAGTTAGAGGGTTAGAGGTTCACTACAGTCTAGTTAGAGGGTTAGAGGTTCACTACAGTCTAGTTAGAGGGTTAGTGGTTCACTACAGTCTAGTTTGAGGTTCAATACAGTCTAGTTAGAAAGTTAGAGGTTCACTACAGTCTAGTTAGAGGGTTAGAGGTTCACTACAGTCTAGTTAGAGGTTCACTACAGTCTAGTTAGAGGGGTAGAGGTTCACTACAGTCTAGTTAGAGGGTTAGAGGTTCACTACAGTCTAGTTAGAGGGGTAGAGGTTCACTACAGTCTAGTTAGAGGGTTAGAGGTTCACTACAGTCTAGTTAGAGGGGTAGAGGTTCACTACAGTCTAGTTAGAGGTTCACTACAGTCTAGTTAGAGGGTTAGAGGTTCACTACAGTCTAGTTAGAAGGTTAGAGGTTCACTACAGTCTAGTTAGAGGGTTAGAGGTTCACTACAGTCTAGTTAGAGGGTTGGAGGTTCACTACAGTCTAGTTAGAGTGTTAGAGGTTCACTACAGTCTAGTTAGAGGGTTAGAGGTTCACTACAGTCTAGTTAGAGGGTTAGAGGTTCACTACAGTCTAGTTAGAGGTTCACCACAGTCTAGTTAGAGGTTCACTACAGTCTAGTTAGAGTGTTAGAGGTTCACTACAGTCTAGTTAGAGGGTTAGAGGTTCACTACAGTCTAGTTAGAGGGGTAGAGGTTCACTACAGTCTAGTTAGAGGGGTAGAGGTTCACTACAGTCTAGTTAGAGGGTTAGAGGTTCACTACAGTCTAGTTAGAGGTTCACTACAGTCTAGTTAGAGGGTTAGTGGTTCACTACAGTCTAGTTTGAGGTTCAATACAGTCTAGTTAGAAAGTTAGAGGTTCACTACAGTCTAGTTAGAGGGTTAGAGGTTCACTACAGTCTAGTTAGAGGTTCACTACAGTCTAGTTAGAGGGTTAGTGGTTCACTACAGTCTAGTTTGAGGTTCAATACAGTCTAGTTAGAAAGTTAGAGGTTCACTACAGTCTAGTTAGAGGGTTAGAGGTTCACTACAGTCTAGTTAGAGGTTCACTACAGTCTAGTTAGAGGGGTAGAGGTTCACTACAGTCTAGTTAGAGGGTTAGAGGTTCACTACAGTCTAGTTAGAGGGGTAGAGGTTCACTACAGTCTAGTTAGAGGGTTAGAGGTTCACTACAGTCTAGTTAGAGGGGTAGAGGTTCACTACAGTCTAGTTAGAGGGTTAGAGGTTCACTACAGTCTAGTTAGAGGTTCACTACAGTCTAGTTAGAGGGTTAGTGGTTCACTAGAGTCTAGTTTGAGGTTCAATACAGTCTAGTTAGAAAGTTAGAGGTTCACTACAGTCTAGTTAGAGGGTTAGAGGTTCACTACAGTCTAGTTAGAGGGTTAGAGGTTCACTACAGTCTAGTTAGAGGGTTAGAGGTTCACTACAGTCTAGTTAGAGGGTTAGTGGTTCACTACAGTCTAGTTTGAGGTTCAATACAGTCTAGTTAGAAAGTTAGAGGTTCACTACAGTCTAGTTAGAGGGTTAGAGGTTCACTACAGTCTAGTTAGAGGTTCACTACAGTCTAGTTAGAGGGGTAGAGGTTCACTACAGTCTAGTTAGAGGGTTAGAGGTTCACTACAGTCTAGTTAGAGGGGTAGAGGTTCACTACAGTCTAGTTAGAGGGTTAGAGGTTCACTACAGTCTAGTTAGAGGTTCACTACAGTCTAGTTAGAGGGTTAGTGGTTCACTACAGTCTAGTTTGAGGTTCAATACAGTCTAGTTAGAAAGTTAGAGGTTCACTACAGTCTAGTTAGAGGGTTAGAGGTTCACTACAGTCTAGTTAGAGGGTTAGAGGTTCACTACAGTCTAGTTAGAGGGTTAGAGCTTCACTACAGTCTAGTTAGAGGGTTAGTGGTTCACTACAGTCTAGTTTGAGGTTCAATACAGTCTAGTTAGAAAGTTAGAGGTTCACTACAGTCTAGTTAGAGGGTTAGAGGTTCACTACAGTCTAGTTAGAGGTTCACTACAGTCTAGTTAGAGGGGTAGAGGTTCACTACAGTCTAGTTAGAGGGTTAGAGGTTCACTACAGTCTAGTTAGAGGGGTAGAGGTTCACTACAGTCTAGTTAGAGGGTTAGAGGTTCACTACAGTCTAGTTAGAGGGGTAGAGGTTCACTACAGTCTAGTTAGAGGTTCACTACAGTCTAGTTAGAGGGTTAGAGGTTCACTACAGTCTAGTTAGAAGGTTAGAGGTTCACTACAGTCTAGTTAGAGGGTTAGAGGTTCACTACAGTCTAGTTAGAGGGTTGGAGGTTCACTACAGTCTAGTTAGAGTGTTAGAGGTTCACTACAGTCTAGTTAGAGGGTTAGAGGTTCACTACAGTCTAGTTAGAGGGTTAGAGGTTCACTACAGTCTAGTTAGAGGTTCACCACAGTCTAGTTAGAGGTTCACTACAGTCTAGTTAGAGTGTTAGAGGTTCACTACAGTCTAGTTAGAGGGTTAGAGGTTCACTACAGTCTAGTTAGAGGGGTAGAGGTTCACTACAGTCTAGTTAGAGGGGTAGAGGTTCACTACAGTCTAGTTAGAGGGTTAGAGGTTCACTACAGTCTAGTTAGAGGTTCACTACAGTCTAGTTAGAGGGTTAGTGGTTCACTACAGTCTAGTTTGAGGTTCAATACAGTCTAGTTAGAAAGTTAGAGGTTCACTACAGTCTAGTTAGAGGGTTAGAGGTTAACTACAGTCTAGTTAGAGGTTCACTACAGTCTAGTTAGAGGGTTAGTGGTTCACTACAGTCTAGTTTGAGGTTCAATACAGTCTAGTTAGAAAGTTAGAGGTTCACTACAGTCTAGTTAGAGGGTTAGAGGTTCACTACAGTCTAGTTAGAGGTTCACTACAGTCTAGTTAGAGGGGTAGAGGTTCACTACAGTCTAGTTAGAGGGTTAGAGGTTCACTACAGTCTAGTTAGAGGGGTAGAGGTTCACTACAGTCTAGTTAGAGGGTTAGAGGTTCACTACAGTCTAGTTAGAGGGGTAGAGGTTCACTACAGTCTAGTTAGAGGTTCACTACAGTCTAGTTAGAGGGTTAGAGGTTCACTACAGTCTAGTTAGAAGGTTAGAGGTTCACTACAGTCTAGTTAGAGGGTTAGAGGTTCACTACAGTCTAGTTAGAGGGTTGGAGGTTCACTACAGTCTAGTTAGAGTGTTAGAGGTTCACTACAGTCTAGTTAGAGGGTTAGAGGTTCACTACAGTCTAGTTAGAGGGTTAGAGGTTCACTACAGTCTAGTTAGAGGTTCACTACAGTCTAGTTAGAGGTTCACTACAGTCTAGTTAGAGTGTTAGAGGTTCACTACAGTCTAGTTAGAGGGTTAGAGGTTCACTACAGTCTAGTTAGAGGGGTAGAGGTTCACTACAGTCTAGTTAGAGTGTTAAAGGTTCACTACAGTCTAGTTAGAGGGTTAGAGGTTCACTACAGTCTAGTTAGAGGGTTAGAGGTTCACTACAGTCTAGTTAGAGGTTCACTACAGTCTAGTTAGAGGTTCACTACAGTCTAGTTAGAAGGTTAGAGGTTCACTACAGTCTAGTTAGAGGTTCACTACAGTCTAGTTAGAGGTTCACTACAGTCTAGTTAGAGGTTCACTACAGTCTAGTTAGAGGGTTAGAGGTTCACTACAGTCTAGTTAGAGGGTTGGAGGTTCACTACAGTCTAGTTAGAGGGTTCGAGGTTCACTACAGTCTAGTTAGAAGGTTAGAGGTTCACTACCTTCTAGTTAGAGGGGTAGAGGTTCACTACAGTCTAGTTAGAGGTTCACTACAGTCTAGTTAGAGGTTCACTACAGTCTAGTTAGAGGGTTAGAGGTTCACTACAGTCTAGTTAGAGGGTTAGAGGTTCACTACAGTCTAGTTAGAGGGTTAGAGGTTCACTACAGTCTAGTTAGAGGTTCACTACAGTCTAGTTAGAAGGTTCACTACAGTCTAGTTAGAAGGTTCACTACAGTCTAGTTAGAGGTTCACTACAGTCTAGTTAGAGGGTTGGAGGTTCACTACAGTCTAGTTAGAGAGCTAGAGGTTCACTACAGTCTAGTTAGAGGGTTAGAGGTTCACTACAGTCTAGTTAGAGGTTCACTACAGTCTAGTTAGAGGGGTAGAGGTTCACTACAGTCTAGTTAGAGGGTTAGAGGTTCACTACAGTCTAGTTAGAGGGTTAGAGGTTCACTACAGTCTAGTTAGAAGGTTCACTACAGTCTAGTTAGAAGGTTCACTACAGTCTAGTTAGAAGGTTCACTACAGTCTAGTTAGAGGTTCACTACAGTCTAGTTAGAGGTTCACTACAGTCTAGTTAGAGGGTTAGAGGTTCACTACAGTCTAGTTAGAGGGTTAGAGGTTCACTACAGTCTAGTTAGAAGGTTCACTACAGTCTAGTTAGAAGGTTCACTACAGTCTAGTTAGAAGGTTCACTACAGTCTAGTTAGAGGTTCACTACAGTCTAGTTAGAGGTTCACTACAGTCTAGTTAGAGGGTTAGAGGTTCACTACAGTCTAGTTAGAGGGTTAGAGGTTCACTACAGTCTAGTTAGAGGGTTAGAGGTTCACTACAGTCTAGTTAGAGGGTTAGAGGTTCACTACAGTCTAGTTAGAAGGTTCACTACAGTCTAGTTAGAGGTTCACTACAGTCTAGTTAGAGGGTTGGAGGTTCACTACAGTCTAGTTAGAGAGCTAGAGGTTCACTACAGTCTAGTTAGAGGGTTAGAGGTTCACTACAGTCTAGTTAGAGGTTCACTACAGTCTAGTTAGAGGGGTAGAGGTTCACTACAGTCTAGTTAGAGGGTTAGAGGTTCACTACAGTCTAGTTAGAGGGTTAGAGGTTCACTACAGTCTAGTTAGAAGGTTCACTACAGTCTAGTTAGAAGGTTCACTACAGTCTAGTTAGAAGGTTCACTACAGTCTAGTTAGAGGTTCACTACAGTCTAGTTAGAGGTTCACTACAGTCTAGTTAGAGGGTTAGAGGTTCACTACAGTCTAGTTAGAGGGTTAGAGGTTCACTACAGTCTAGTTAGAAGGTTCACTACAGTCTAGTTAGAAGGTTCACTACAGTCTAGTTAGAAGGTTCACTACAGTCTAGTTAGAGGTTCACTACAGTCTAGTTAGAGGTTCACTACAGTCTAGTTAGAGGGTTAGAGGTTCACTACAGTCTAGTTAGAGGGTTAGAGGTTCACTACAGTCTAGTTAGAGGGTTAGAGGTTCACTACAGTCTAGTTAGAGGGTTAGAGGTTCACTACAGTCTAGTTAGAAGGTTCACTACAGTCTAGTTAGAAGGTTCACTACAGTCTAGTTAGAGGTTCACTACAGTCTAGTTAGAGGTTCACTACAGTCTAGTTAGAGGGTTAGAGGTTCACTACAGTCTAGTTAGAGATTCACTACAGTCTAGTTAGAAGGTTCACTACAGTCTAGTTAGAAGGTTCACTACAGTCTAGTTAGAAGGTTCACTACAGTCTAGTTAGAAGGTTCACTACAGTCTAGTTAGAGGTTCACTACAGTCTAGTTAGAGGTTCAATACAGTCTAGTTAGAGGGTTAGAGGTTCACTACAGTCTAGTTAGAGGGTTAGAGGTTCACTACAGTCTAGTTAGAGGTTCACTACAGTCTAGTTAGAGGGGTAGAGGTTCACTACAGTCTAGTTAGAGGTTCACTACAGTCTAGTTAGAAGGTTCACTACAGTCTAGTTAGAGGTTCACTACAGTCTAGTTAGAGGGTTAGAGGTTCACTACAGTCTAGTTAGAGGTTCACTACAGTCTAGTTAGAGGTTCACTACAGTCTAGTTAGAGGGTTAGAGGTTCACTACAGTCTAGTTAGAGGGTTAGAGGTTCACTACAGTCTAGTTAGAGGGTTAGAGGTTCACTACAGTCTAGTTAGAAGGTTAGAGGTTCACTACAGTCTAGTTAGAGGTTCACTACAGTCTAGTTAGAGGTTCACTACAGTCTAGTTAGAGGTTCACTACAGTCTAGTTAGAGGGTTAGAGGTTCACTACAGTCTAGTTAGAGGGTTAGAGGTTCACTACAGTCTAGTTAGAAGGTTAGAGGTTCACTACAGTCTAGTTAGAGGGTTAGAGGTTCACTACAGTCTAGTTAGAGGTTCACTACAGTCTAGTTAGAAGGTTAGAGGTTCACTACAGTCTAGTTAGAGGGTTAGAGGTTCACTACAGTCTAGTTAGATGGTTAGAGGTTCACTACAGTCTAGTTAGAGGGTTAGAGGTTCACTACAGTCTAGTTAGAGGGTTAGAGGTTCACTACAGTCTAGTTAGAGGTTCACTACAGTCTAGTTAGAGGGTTAGAGGTTCACTACAGTCTAGTTAGAGGTTCACTACAGTCTAGTTAGAGGTTCACTACAGTCTAGTTAGAAGGTTCACTACAGTCTAGTTAGAAGGTTCACTACAGTCTAGTTAGAGGGTTAGAGGTTCACTACAGTCTAGTTAGAGGTTCACTACAGTCTAGTTAGAGGGGTAGAGATTCACTACAGTCTAGTTAGAGGGTTAGAGGTTCACTACAGTCTAGTTAGAGGGTTAGAGGTTCACTACAGTCTAGTTAGAGGGTTAGAGGTTCACTACAGTCTAGTTAGAGGTTCACTACAGTCTAGTTAGAGGTTCACTACAGTCTAGTTAGAGGGTTAGAGATTCACTACAGTCTAGTTAGAGGGTTAGAGGTTCACTACAGTCTAGTTAGAGGGTTAGAGGTTCACTACAGTCTAGTTAGAGGGTTAGAGGTTCACTACAGTCTAGTTAGAGGGTTAGAGGTTCACTACAGTCTAGTTAGAGGGTTAGAGATTCACTACAGTCTAGTTAGAAGGTTCACTACAGTCTAGTTAGAAGGTTCACTACAGTCTAGTTAGAGGTTCACTACAGTCTAGTTAGAGGTTCACTACAGTCTAGTTAGAGGTTCACTACAGTCTAGTTAGAGGGTCACTACAGTCTAGTTAGAGGGTTAGAGGTTCACTACAGTCTAGTTAGAGGGTTAGAGGTTCACTACATTCTAGTTAGAGGTCATAGCCGTGCATGAGCTCTATCTGCTTGTCATTTCTCAACACAGTTACATGAATAATAATGAATAATAATAATAATAATATGCCATTTAGCAGACGCTTTTATCCAAAGCGACTTACAGTCATGCGTGCATACATTTTTGTGTATGGGTGGTCCCGGCGATCGAACCCACTACCTTGGCGTTACAAGCGCCGTGCTCTACCAGCTGAGCTACAGAGGACCACATAATGACATAATAATGAAACAGTAACTGTTGTTTTTATTCTCTTTATTTTTTTAACAAAAATGTCATTTTGTTTTCACTCAATCAAAATAAAAAGTTGTGTAAGAATAATCTACACAAGAAGTCCCATATTATTCCCATTTGTCCTGCACAGACACAATGTAAAATCACATGTTCTCACCCACAGAATAAAAAATAAAAAAACGACAACTAAATCAGAAAATATAATGTTATGCAGGTCTGTAAGGCGAAGTCATAGAGTTAGATAGAGAATTCTAGGATGGATAGAACCTGTTTTAACATGGACAGCGCCATTGAGGGCTTCCACCATTTTAAAGTAGTCAACTGGGTGGGACTTCCTATGGGTTAAGGAAGGATCACATGATTCCATCCGGGTCATCAGGAGGGATCAGCCAATGAATTACACTCTTGAGCAAACATTCCATAACTGCATGTGGCAGTAAATCGCCAACTTTGGCTTTATACCGGATCAAACAAAACATTACGTAGCAGTTCACCTTTTCAGCTTGTTTACCAACTCATAGAAGTAGAAGAAAATGGACTTCTTCAATATGGAGATTGCCTCAATGGCGCTGCCTGTGCGCTCAGACGCCATAATGGGACATATATAAAGATGATATCTCTATCATTCTCTATGGGCGAAGTCTACTGCAGACCATGCCTCCCCACTTCACTTGACAGACAGACGGAGATGATGTGAGAAGCTGCATGTCTCTCTGGCCCTGTTCAAATACTTCCGAAATGTATCTCTTTCCTTCACTTCTACCTACCTTCCTCCCTTCCTTTAAATAATCACAGATCTGAATTGGTTTGATTGCTAAAATTGGCTGGTAACCTTGCTTTCACCTCTCCAATCACCTATAGATATGTGCTCTATCAAGGTAACAAAGGAGGAAGGATACTTTTCTGAATTATTCAAACAGGGCCATGCTCTTAATTTCTTCTGGGGTACTTCAGTAACAGGGCGACCCAATCTACACCTTGTTCCATGGGAGAGGAGAGAAGGGTAGCGCCAAGTTAGACCAGACAGACAAGATGCCGTCCAACCGGATCCGTCTGGATCGGCCCTCCCGGAAAGCTGGGCTCACAACTCTTCCCTCCCAGTGTCGTCATCCAGATCCACGTCACTCAGGTCGTAGTCATCCTCCACGGGAAGCTGGGGATGAAAGAGGAGAGAGAGGTAAGGACTGGCCAGACAATACAAAACATGGGTCGTGGTCATTAGCGCACACCGTTGCAAACTATAGCAAAACATTTTGCAACAGAAAAACGTTTTTTCAATGAATACAATAATTTCTTATTGGACAATATCAGATAATGCCGTTTCAGTCCGTTTGGTTTCTAGTCAATACTGCCCTGTGATGTATTCAGTGAGTCAAAACTATTCTCCCTGACATATCATATCTGTTCTACACTATACATTTATATCTGGACGTTTGGTGATGTTTTGTAACGTTACATACTCCTGAACAGGCCCCAGGCAAGACTTGTCTAAAGCCATTCTTCACCATTTCAAAAGAAGCTCAAGTCACCTCGTTCAGCCAAAACTGTATTATGGTAGGAGGATGTCCGCATCCCATCCACCCTGTGACCACTCCCACTTACCTCTCCATCTTTGCCGTCCCAGGCCTCAACTGAGTTGATCTTAGGCAAAGCCCCGCCCCCAACGGTAGCAGTGGAGCCGCGGCCTACAGACAGATCCCTGGGCGAGAGAGGGAGAGAGAGAAAGAAGATACACCTCAGAATGCTACTGTGGACATACTGTATACTGATTGGCTGTTCACAAGGACCTTAAATCAGCTAGGAGCAAAAGCCTTCAGATCCAGTATCTCTCCAGGAAGAGAGTTGGGTATGGATAGCGTCCCAAATGGCACCCTATTCCCTTTATAATGCACTACTTTTGACCAGAGCCCATAGTGAATAGGGTGCAATTCGGACGCATCCATGGTCTACTCTATACTGTGTAAAGCACTAAATGAGTAGACAGCGCCCCCTACCTGAGGAACTCGTGAATGCCGGTCTCGCTGAATGAACCCTTGAGCAGGGCGAACTTCATCTTGCGGGCGTTGATGGCTGCCATGGCAGGGTAGCCGAACCCTCCGATGCCCAGCGACGCCTCCAGCTCCATCTGAGCACCAGCCTCAGTCCACAGCCAGCTAGATAGATAGAGATAAAGAGAGATAGAGAGAGAGAAAGAGAGATTACTTAGTGCTAATCAAATTAAACTAATAAGTTCTATTGGGTTGAGTTGATCTAGCCGCAGTCCGAGATCAAAATCATTCAGTCAGACAGTTTGAAAAATCGACAGCACTGACTAATCTACAAATCCTTTGAGTACTTCTTTAGGATACAATCATTTGTAAAATCAGTCAGTGTGCTCAGTCGGTGATGCGCTCAAACACAGCCTCTTTCTATATACTGACCCCCACGTCTTCTTCTTGTACTTCTCTGCCATCTTCATCATCACCTCCAGGTAGCTGTTCCTGCCTGCTGCACCTGGAACAAGGCAAGAGGAAGGAAAGGGACTGGTCAGTCTTGTACAGATCCAAAATGGCCGATCAATGCGCCGTCATGAGGTACAACGACTAAATACCATATCAAATAGCCTGAGAATATAAGCATAAATTAGTTAGCAGAGTAAACTGGTCAGAACTAGCATAGTAAACTGGTCGGAACTGGTCCAAAGTGCCATAGTAAACTGGTCAGAACGGGTCCAAACTGGTGTAGTAAACTGGTCAGAACTGATCCAAACTGCCATAGTAAAGGTCCAAACTGGCATAGAGTAGTTCCATCTAACCTGTGTCCAGGATGTGTGGCAGCACAGCGATGACACAGAGCTGGTTGTCATCACAGGTCTTCTTCAGGACATCTGGGTTAAGGATCTGAGAGAGTCACACACACCATTCAGAATCTAACAGTCTGTCTGAAGAGAAACACTAAACTTCAAAGGAATATTATCTTCTAGTTCAAATATATTTGTTATTATGATTAACTTTGAGGGAGAGCATTAAAACAATATATTGGAACCTTGTGGGTTACAATCATATTGTTTTTATGCTCTCAAACACACACACCCAGACACTGACACACACACACCTCGAGCAGTTCCGGAGGAGCGGCGTTGTCGGAGAACAGGTCCAGAGCGCGGGCGATGATGTCACCTCGGGTCCTCCCCCCCTGGTAGTCCTCAGGCTCCTCCCCCTTCTTGAAGATCTTAATAGTGGGGAATCCACGGACCTGCAGATACGGAAAGAGAAACGGGACAAACCTCAGTCCTGGGCCATGCTCGGTAGGCACACGTTGTGGGACGTTGCCGATAGAAATGTCCTGAATAGAGCAGACGCGATTCCTTTATTTCTATATATCAGAGAGGACTGTTTGTTCTACATGATATATTTCTATCTGAACGTTCTGATGTTGTGTGCAGGCAGACAGACATCTGTGGCGATGCTACACTGATAGTATCTGACTGGTGGGTGTTTCCTGCTCACCCCGTAGCGGCTGGCCAGACCCTGGTGAACAGTAGCGTCCACAGCTCCCAGGTGGACCTTGTCCTTGGTCTGCTCCTTGACGGCCGAGGCTGCAGCCGCCCACTCAGGCTCCAGGCTCTTGCAGTGGCCACACCAGGGGGCAAAGAACTCCACCAGCCACACTTCACCACTGTCCAGAACCAGCCGGTCAAAGTTGTCGTCGGTCAGCTCCACGACATTCTTCTTACTGTCCCCACCACCACCTCCACTCTGGAGAAAGACAACCACCAAGATACGTTTACTTAAGACGTACTGTATACACTCTGCTCAAAATGTTTAAACAAAAAGAGACTTGACACGATTCTGAAAACCCTGTAATATTTTTCAATTCTTTCAACACGTTACTAAATCTGGCAAAATGTATGTTGTAGGACACCGGACTCATGTTCAACAGGGTACAACGTAGCAAAACGTTTTGTGACGGAAAATAACAACCAGTGTTCTTGTTGATCAGGTAGTACTGGTAGTACCTCCATATATCACTTTAAACGTTTTGTCCATACTGAACATGACCCAGCCGAGGCGTCATTAGTAGTTACCTGTTTGCTGTAGTCAGAGCCACCCGACCTGCCACTCATCCTGTCCTTCACCAGAGTACGGAGAGCATTCAGGGCCCCGTCCACTATGGCCTGGCTACTACGCGCACCTGAGGGAGGGAGATTATTAAACACCATTAAAGCCCAGCAATCCCAACACATTGATGTATTGAGAGAATGATTTATTTCAGCTTTTATTTATTTCATCACATTCCCAGTGGGTCAGAAGTTCACATACACTCAATTAGTATTTGGTAGCATTGCCTTTAAATTGTTTGACTTGGGTCAAACATTTTGGGTAGCCACAATAAGTTGGGGGAATTTTGGCCCATTCCTCCTGACAGAGCTGGTGTAACTGAGTCAAGTTTGTAGGCCTCCTTGCTCGCACAAGCTTTTTCAGTTCTGCCCACAAATGTTCTATAGGATTGAGGTCAGGGCTTTGTGATGGCCACACCAATACCTTGACTTTGTTGTCCTTAAGCCATTTTGCCACAACTTTGGAAGTATGCTTGGGGTCATTGTCCATTTGGAAGACCCATTTGCGACCAAGCTTTAACTTCCTGACTGATGTCTTGAGATGCTGCTTCAATATATCCAAATAATTTTCCTTCCTCATGATGCCATCTATTTTGTGAAGTGCATCAGTCCCACCTGCAGCAAAGTACTCCCACAGCATGATGCTGCCACCCCCGTGCTTCATGGTTGGGATGGTGTTCTTCGGCTTGCAAACCGCCCCCCTTTTCCTCCAAACATAACGATGGTCATTATGGTCAAAAAGTTATATTTTTGTTTCATCAGACCAGAGGACATTTCTCCAAAAAGTACGATCTTTGTCCCCATGTGCAGTTGCAAACCGTAGTCTGGCTTTTTTATGGCGGTTTTGGAGCAGTGGCTTCTTCCTTGATGAGCTGCCTTTCAGGTTATGTCGATAAAGGACTTGTTTTACTGTGGATATAGATACTTTTGTACCTGTTTCCTCCAGCATCTTCACAAGGTCCTTTGCTGTTGTTCTGGGATTGATTTGCACTTTACGCACAAAAGTACGTTCATCTCTAGGAGACAGAACGTGTCTCCTTCCTGAGCGGTATGACGGCTGCGTGGTCTCATGGTGTTTATACTTGCGTACTATTGTTTGTACAGATGAACTTTGTACCTTCAGCCGTTTGGATATTGCTCCCATGGATGAACCAGACTTGTGGAGGTCTACAATTATTTTTCTGAGGTCTTGGCTGATTTCTTTTGATTTTCCCATGATGTCAAGCAAAGAGGCACTGGGTTTGAAGGTAGGCCTTGAAATACATCCACAGGTACACCTCCAATTGACTCAAATTATGTCAATTAGCCTATCAGAAGCTTCTAAAACCATGACATCATTTTCTGGAATTTTCCAAGCTGTTTAAAGGCAGAGTCAACTTAGTGTATGTAAACTTCTGACCCACTGGAATTGTGATACAGTGAATTATAAGTGAAATAATCTGTTGGAAAAATGATTTGTGTCATGCACGAAGTAGATATCCTAACCGACTTGCCAAAACTATAGTTTGTTAAAAAGAAATTTGTGGAGTGGTTGAAAAACGAGATTGAATGACTCCAACCTAAGTGTATGTAAACTTCCGACTTCAACTGTATATGTGGTAGGAATTGAGCCTGAGGATGAGGCTATTTTCTTTATGATTTCATATTGCAAGAGTCTAACTTTAAAGTCAGGGAAAGGCCCAGCTACTAGACATACCTTGGTAATCGTCGGGCTTGTTCTTATTGGCTCCAAAGATCTTGATGGTGGGGAAGCCTCTGACACCGTACTGACCGCCCAGGGACTTGTGCTGGTCGGCATCCACCGCACCGACCTTAACGATGCCCTGAGGGGGGAGAGAACAGCAAGAGGTTGCAGTCTATGTCACCACCATCATCATTACTATTGCCAGAAATAGTCATTGCATCCATCATTAGTATAGCTCATAGAGTGCTGGTGATCTCTTATTTGTTTTGTACTGAAAGCTAGAAAGATATAAACCCAGGCCATGACACTATGACAAGCAGTACCAATAAAAGATGCAGCTGCTTATTGTGAATGCAGTTATAGTGATCAACTGCTTAGAGTGATCCAATTGTCCTGCACAGATGTGATGGCTGCATGTGGAGTGCACTGCAGTAATGTGCACTTTATGTTGCTAGTGACATTATGCTTTAATAAAACAGCTCAAGTTGAATTAATATTGGTGTAATATGGTAATATAAGTGACATAACACTGTTATAACAGATCTATAGTTTACCTTCAAGGCTGTGGCTGTTTTCTTCCAGTCAGCAGTCAGGCTCTGGCAGTGTCCACACCTGTGGAGACAAACAGTTAGTCTTCCTGTTCCAAGCACCAGACTACCCACAGCCTTATATCGATCTGCATTAGCAGAGTGGAGTCTAAGCAAATATTGGGATAAGGAGATTTTATACAACACTAGCTACTTGGTGGCAATTTCACCATTGTGAGTAAGTTCTCAGTCTCTCATTGGGCCCCCAGCAGATTCAACCACTCACCAAGGAGCATAAAACTCGATGAGCCACAAGCTGTTGCTCTGAAGAACCTCCCGGTTGAAATTGGAGGGGTTCAGTTCAACGACATCATCGTTAGCAGAGTAGAAGCCCTGGGCCATCAAGAACAGGGAACAACCCAACACACCTGGTTGGAAAGACGAGGAGGAAAGGAGGAGGTGAGTGTGATGGGGGTGTGTGTGTACATTGTCATATTGCATAAGCAAACAAACACTGTCCAGGACCGTGTTGGAAGCTTGAAATTATGCATACCAGCAGAAAAAAATATAAAAAGTTGGCACATCAAGCCAAACTCCAGATGACAATTTAGCTAGTTAACTAGTTACAATCCAGGACCTATTTCATCAGTCATCAGGTTTGAATTTAGCTTGTCGTCTTTTAGCCATCTTGTCGTTCTCACTACTTAACTAGCCTCGGCCACGAATTATTAATATTGCTACAGTGAATCAAAATACAATCTGATTCATTAGCATGAACGTTTCCTAACTAGCAATTTTGGACACATCTTATGGCCACCATGACCTAACGTTAGCGAAATAGCTTTGTTCTTTTTAGAATGGCATTAACTTTAAACAAATATAATACTAGTAAATCTGAACAAGCTGTTTAAACTCTCTTACCAAGTAAAAGCCCTCTCATGATTCCAGCGGATCTCTGTACACCTCTCCAATGTCTTGTCCTGAGCAGCTCTGTTGCAGAAGAGGAACAGTGCTACAAAAAGAGAGGGCGACAAAAATTTTACCGTGGCCCAAGCCCATTGGCTCCCTGCCGGCTGTGCCGCGCCACGTCCAATCAGAACTCGCCGTGTAGTTTCCCCAACCAGTACAGGATGGCGTGTAAAAGAATCACAGGAAGATGTGTGGAGAGCTACAGCACGCAGTTTGGCTACATTCTATAGCGAAGAGCCAATATGCTGTCAGTCACGGCCGGCCCGCTCATTAGATTGACGAGGGCGGCATTTTCTGAGCTAAACTGGCAAAGACGCACCTTCAACAACAACACATAAAACCTATCATTATTCTGCACTAAAACAATGACAATTTCTGTCAACCAGTGGCATATGGGCTTTTTAGGTGAGCGCTGATGCCGCCCTTTGATAAGCAGTGCCCACTTTGTCAAAGGCAAAGGGCATTAAAATATGTTTTGCTTGCCCATTCCCAGCGCCTCTCCAGGGTGCTGTTGGAGAGATGGATCTCTGCAGTGCTCCACCAATGTTCCATCAAAAAAGTATAATTTATAAACTGGGTGGTTCAGCCCTGAATACTGATTGGCTGACAGCCGTGATATATCAGACCGTATACCACCAGTATGACAAAACATTTATTTGTACTGCTCTAATTACGTTGGTAACCAGTTTATAATAGCAATAAGGCACCTTGGGGGTATGTGGTATATGGCCAATATACCACAGCTAAGGTCTGTATCCAGGCACTCCGCTTTGCGTCGTATATAAGAACAGCCCTTAGCCGTGGTATATTGGCCATATACCACACCCCCTCTGGCCTTATTGCTTAAATAAATCATGTAGCAGATATAGGATATGGTAGAAAGAGTATGTGGCCTTTCTGTAGCCTACAGGCTGGAGATAAAATGTATGACAATGTAATGAGAAGGACACTTTTTACATTATGCAGGTTTCACCAATTATATAGCTAACCTAAATGGTGCTCAATTAAATAAAAAATGCAGCTGTCATGTTAACAAACAACATATCCTAAAAACAGGACAGGTCAAAGTAAAATGGACAATATGGAATGAACAATCACAACTGTTGTCCAGGAGTTTCACCCCATTGTCATGATCAGTGGTTTCAAGTTTGTATCTGTCAATTATTGACAAGCTGATCATAGTCAAAAAGAAAATACTTCTGCATTTCCCGCTGTGTAAACACATTGCAAACAGGCTCTCAATAACTCCTGATAAAGTTGGGTAGCTGATATTCAGAGCTTAAATAGCCAAATTGATTCGTCACAGGAATCAGGACTAGTAAATCAAATCAAATCAAATTGTATTTGTCACATACATGTGTTTAGCAGATGTTATAGCGGGTGTAGCAAAATGCTTGCGCTTCTAGCTCCAACAATGCAGTAATATCTAACAAGTAATATCTAACAATTTCACAACATATACCCAATACACACAAAACTAGTAAGGAATGGGATTTAAGAATGTATACATATAAAGCCAATGCAATGGCCTGTTTTACAAAAGGTTGGCCTACCACATGGATGGGCATTCATAACATTCCATTGGAGGCAGACATGGTAGGCTACACCCCAGTAAGCATGAGCCAACGTCTTTTGGATGTGTTTTTTTGGTCTTGTCCAGACGTCGTTTTTTGGTGTTTTACAAACGGTAGGCTTACCACATTAATGGGCATTCATCAAATTTAATTTCAGGCAACACTGTAGGCTACACCTCAGTAAGCACGGACCACCTTTTGGGCATCTTCTTTTGGTGCAGTTCCGGACCGGCCTTGATTTCCACATCCACAGACATTGGTTTTTGGTCTGGTCCAGACCAAATCTGAACGAATTATAGATGTCTATGTTTGGTTCAGATTTGGTGGGGTCCAGACAGGCCTTGATTTCTACGTCCACAGACATACATTTTTGGTCCGGTCCGGACCAAATCTGAACCAATCATAGATGTCTATGTTTGGTTGAGATTTTGTCCGGTCTGGACCAGCCTTGATTTGGCCCAAACATAGACATCTATAAATTACATATTTTCAACTTTCATTCAGAACCAAAAATGAGCCTGATTTCAACATCCGGAAAATATATATTTTCAACTCTGTAAAATATGTATTTTCAACATCCGGAAAATATGCCTTTTCAAGTTTCGTTCAGAACCGAAAATTAACCTGATTTCAACATCCGGAAAATAGGTATTTTTTTACATCTGGAAAATATGCCTTTTCAACATCCTGGAAAATATGTATTTTAAACATATGGAAAATACCTTTTCACCTTTCATTCAGAACCTACATTTAACCAGGGACGGCCTGTTCAATAGGGCGATATGGGCGACGCACTGCCAAACGGGAAAAGGAAGGGATTTTTTTTCTAATCAATTATATCACGGCAACAGTAGTTATCAGTGTTGTAATCTATACGTCTGATCTGCCACAGTGCCACACTGCCACTAAATGTCAAATCAGGCTAAAGTCGTGCTTCAAATGGCTCCACCCCCTTTTGGGGCGATTTCAGTCAGATTGAAAATCGCCCAGAACTTCTGTCATAGACTCCCATGTAAAATCTATTTTTTTCAAATTTCAGAGCCTTCAATACAATCTCAATGGGTGTCTGTGGGCTTGCACTTACGCGCTTTCGTCATACGTTACGTAACCATGAACGTAACTGAGAAAAGAGTGGATTGTTTGAAAGAAGTTCCTTTTTGTCGGCGAACAAATGAAGATAAATTGGCAACGAAACAATTAGGACCTCCCAGACCAAATGTAATAATTCAACAGGTTTCTACTAAAGGCGGAAAGTCCTACACCCGAGGATTTTCCAAAAATTGGTACGAACGAAAAAAGACATTGCCACTCACTCAACTGGATGACGAGGGATACAGGCTAGCTGTCCGCCGCCACAACGATGAGGTTAGTGTTGATAATCACAAGTTTACTGGATGTGGATATGGTGTAATAAAGGCAGTTTATTCAGAGGTAAATATATCTGGAATCGCGTTCACGGACCCGTTCGTCAAACTCTTAGGGAGCTATAAATTAAGCCCCATTACTTACCATATCAGATAAGAGAAATTGCTGCAGCTACATATATTTTACATCCTGGCCCTACATAGTTCACTATTTGCATCACTTACCAAAATATTACATGTGGTCATATATGCTTGGAAAGTGGAGATGCCATAGAACGTCAAAAAAGTAAACATTGCTGGAGACACATTGCCGTTTTGGAGAAGACATCGCGTTTGCTAGCGAAGAGATTTGTTGTGGCAAATGAACTTGGGCTGGGAATTGCCAGGAACCTCACGATAAGATATATGCATCAGCATTGCGAGTCTCATGATTCTATACGTATTGCGATTCGATACTGTGATTTTATTGCGCACCATATGTCTGTTGCAGAGGGATCAGAAAGCCATGAGAACGAGTTTTGATCAGTCATGGAAATAAAAGTGCTGAAAACAAATTGGCTCCCAATGTGAAAAGATTGAGAACAAGCTATGAAGGAACAATAATGGTGTTTTGGTGCAGGTACAGCCAACTAGCGCTAAAATATTGCGATATTGTCAATACAGTATATCGTAAAGTATCACTATGTAACTCGATTTCTTTCACCCCAATCCCTCAAATTAACGGTAAATAACTGAATTGTTTGCCCCACATTTAGCTAAGATGATTAGCTAGCCAGCTAAAATGTTTTAGTTAGTTAGCAGTCGCATCTACAATAGTTTACTGTCAATAACATGTCTCCAAAAATGACGTGGTGTCTCCAATTGTGTTGACATTTTACAATTGCAATGCGCATCCATGAGTATCCACTTTCTGTAGCTCAGCTGGTAGAGCATGGTGCTTGTAACGCCAAGGTAGTGGGTTCGATCCCCGGGACCACCCATACACAAAAATGTATGCACGCATGACTGTAAGTCGCTTTGGATAAAAGCGTCTGCTAAATGGCATATTATTATTATTATTATTATTATTATTATTATCTGAAGAGAGCCCCGAAACATTGTGTGCAGACATTTTATGCAATAAATGAAGTAGGTTCAATCTAGTAGTTCTGATCTTCTGATTGGTCCTGATGAGTTGGGCGAGGTCCCCTGCAGGCTACTGTCACTGTTGCATTGGCTCTGAGTCGGGTTCTCTGTCTTCAAATGTTCAGCCTAAGAGAGGGGATTTTTGTGTGTGTGTGTGTGTGTGTGTGTTTAACAGTGATGATGTGTGTGTGTGTGTGTGTGTTTAACAGTGATGATGTGTGTGTGTGTGTGTTTGTGTGTGTGTGTGTCCTCAGAGCAAGAACTCGTGAGTTGGAAGAACTGAGAGGCCTATGGCGTGGGTGTTGTCCTTGGCCACCTGCTGACAAGGCTGACAAGATAGGACCCTTTTGTCCATTGTTATTGGATAGGAACAGAACTTATAACCAGCTCCTGACCTAAATAGATCTTAGCACAACATTTTACTCAACATATCATATTCCATATTCACTATAACAAATATATTTACTACGACATTAGCAAGAACCGCCACATCCTCAGCCGGCTAATCCAGTGTGTGAAGTTTTGCGGAGTGTTTGAGTTAGCTTTGCGAGGCAAAGATGAAACTGAGGGCTCCACCAACCCTGGTAAGCCAACACTTTTGAGATCAGTCAATAAATGCTTCTGGTATTGACTTATATGCTGCCCCTGTCTTCATGTTGTTGCTGGACATATCTTTTTTTAAATGTGTGTAGGTCACCTAAATCATCAGAAAAATTGCCCCTCCTGAGAATTTTTTCAGGAGCCGCCACTGCATTTAACCTAACTTCAACATCTGGAAAATACGTCTTGTAGACGTCTTTTCAACTTCATTTTGCTTACTGGGACTATTCTAGTTTTTTTTTGGGGGGGGGGCTGCATTTTTTGGTTTCCCCTATGGAAAAATGTCGTTTAATTACTAGTTACTCCCCAACACATTAATTCAACAAACCACTTTATGTGACTTGCAATGTGAACTCATTGTCGCTAGATGGAGACACTAAGCAATTATGCA